AACCATATATGATGACTTGACATTTTGGTCATACATCATGCCAGAGAACAAATTATAGCACCAGTTGCATGTCAATATCTGCTACAGTACTTAGTACATTACAGTTATGCATATTAATCAGGACACATGAAACTAATAATAGGTAATAAATATGCATGGATTTCAATCCTGAAGTAATCAGATCTGTGGATTTACCCAAATATGTACCTTGTTTCATTAAAATTTGATGATACTCAAGTTATCTATATATTGGTTAATTTATGCAAATTAGGTAATTAGTAAGCACAACATTTTCATATGTATGTAATACTATGTCTTCCAATACAATCTTTTATGATTATGATTTTTGACAAGTTGAATGTAAAATATAGGAAAAAAGGTATAATCGCTGGATTTTATTTTTTCACTGAATCATTCCTTCAGTGAAAATAGAGAAAATTAATTCCAAGCGAGAATAAAGTATTTTACAGGATATGCAATCATTTTTGTTTCATAAAAAAATGGCATTAGGGGGTTAGAAGATTTTAATTAACACAGGCTGAAATGTGGCAGTATGCAAATTAGCTACTTAATATGCATGATCATGTCCTTAAAACTAATTATGTTTTCACATTACTCCAAGGTACATATACATACTAAATCTAATTAAAATCCACTTGGATTGACAAATATCTAACCTGTACATGTGATGCCAACCTCACTCTCTGAGAGTGTCTCCATATGTTCTGCTTGTTGTCCGGCTAACCATCCAACTACAACATTAGGATTAGTCACAACAACACCAAAACTATACAGTTTATGGTACCATAGACCCTGTATCAATCAAATAAATATATCACATATTAATTAAACAGACTCTGTATCAAACATATGAATATATCACATATTAATTAAACAGACTCTGTATCAAACATATGAATATATCACATATTAATTAAACAGACTCTGTATCAAACACATAAATATATCACATATTAATTAAACAGACTCTGTGTCAAACATATTAAAATATAATATATTAATTAAACAGACTCTGTATCAAACACATAAATATATCACATTAATTAAACAGACTCTGTCAAACATATAAATATATTACATATTAATTAAACAGACTCTGTATCAAACATATGAATATATCACATATTAATTAAACAGACTCTGTATCAAA